GGGTTTTGGGAGCCAATGGTGGAAAAGTTTAGATGTAAGCTGTCCAAATGGAAAAACTTGAATCTTTCCAAGGGCGGACACCTCACTATGGCACAATCGGTGCTTAATAGCCTGCCAATCTACTACTTTTCCCTTTTGAAAACTCCCCTCACGCACGGAGGCCTTGGCATAGGCTCTTTCGAGCAGCGGAATAATGCCTTGTTGCTCGAATGGCTTTGGTGCTTTACCCAAGAAGAAGGAGTCCTTTGGAGAAGAATTGTGGATAGTATATATGGCACCCAATCTCACGGATGGGTGACCGCTATACCAAAGGGAGCCGTGAAAGGAAGGCCGTGGTTTGACATAGCTCGGAACATCAACCTTTTTCTTAAGTTCGTAACCTTCAAAGCTCGCAACGGGCAGAGAATCAGGTTTTGGAAGGATCACTAGGTGGGGACAGAACTCTAGAGGCAACTTTTCCTAATCTCTACATTATCTCAATGAAGAAAGATGATACAATAGCTAGCTGTTGAAATGCAGAGCATCAAGACTGGGACTTGGGTTTCAGAAGGGGGCTTTTTGACAGAGAATTTGAAAGCTGGTTGGGCCTCACAAACAAGCTAGACACGGTTAGTTTGGGAGATTCAAAAGATGGAGTCATCTGGAATATTGACAAAGGGGGTACTTTCTCAACTAAGGCTACCTTCATTCGCATCAATAAACCTTGTAGAACCCTCCAGCTCCCCCTTTTTAAGACCATTTGGAAATCTAAGATCCCAAAGAAGATAAAAGTTTTTCTTTGGTCGGTAGTTCACAGAAGCTTAAACACTCATGACCGCCTACAGAAGAAATGTCGAACCTGGTCGCTCTCCCGCTCAGCTTGCCCTCTCTACCTCAGTGAGGAAGAAACTCTAGATCACTTATTGCTCCACTGTCCCATAGCCTATAAGTGCTGCACACAAGCTTTTAATCTGTTTAACCTTGATTACTGCCTTCCCAACAAGGTTGATGAATGGCTCTTGCAAGCTCTAAATGGAGGATGCTTCNGACATATTAGGTGTACAGCTATAAATATTACTAATAAAACAATCATTTTTTTAGTACAAGTGCGTGAGAGTTTAATCTTTTGATTGAAGATATATTTCAATTAACGTGAAGCTATCTCATATCAAATTTTTTTTTAACCAAAGAAACTAATTGAGAATTTTGTAATAMATCAAAATAAAATTCACAATTTTAAAAATTTAAGGACGAAATTGAGAATAACTCAAGAGATTGGAGACTATTCAGTACTTTTAGACTCTTTTTTTTTTTTACAACAAATATGGAGTGAGAGTTTGAACCTCCGACTTTAAAAAATAATAATATAATGTGATCGCTAAAATATATTGCCCAAACTTGACTTGTTAGATTAATCAACTCTAGCATAGTTCAACAATTGAAACATTAAATTATCTTATTATAAGTTGAAGTTCCATGTTCTCATGCCCACATATGTAATGTTATATTCTAAAAGAAAATAGCTAACGTGAACATAGCTCAACATTCATATATCCTCGACAAGAAGATTCAAATTCTCACCCTACATATTGCTAAATTTTAAAAAAAAATCTAGAAGAAAATATGTTTTTTGAGTTGATGTTAAAAGATTAAGTTTTTTTAATACTGTGAGGGTCGAGATTTGAACTCACAACCTTTTAATCGAAAATAGATGTCTTAATCAATTGAGCACATTAGAAATTTATATATCATCGAATTGGATCACGAATTTAAATATGAYATTAATATCTCGTCTAAACTAAATTAGAATGTTGCTCATGAACTGACTAATAAACTACACAAAACTTCACCAACAAAATCAAAACGAAGCTATGAAAATGTTTAGATTGAATCATGAAAATATCCAAATTTAGTCACAAAAATGCTTAAACTCGAGCATAAAATGTCTAAATTCAACTTAAAAACATTCTACATATAACTAACAGAACCAATACTCACAAAAAGAAATTGAAACATTGCTAATGGGAGGTATTAATTTCATCTTTTATTCAAGTTTAAGGTTTCAATTTTATGGAAATAAAAATTCTTTAGTTAAGTATAAGAAAAAAAATAATTTATCCCATTAAATCTTATTATAATCTTTTTAGTGTCATATATATTTTGTTTTGATTTCAACTTCGAACAGTTTTATTTCAATTTGTAAATTTTTCATTTTAATCTTCACTGTCACTTTTTCATTAATAATTTCGACACAATTTTGAATCATTTTAAATTTTGATACTTATACTAAGGTAAGAAAGTTAATGTCTGATGTCATAGAAATGAACTCATATGCTCAATAAGTCGATGGAAGGGWGGTTTATTGTAATTCAAAGTCTTCCATAATATTCAAATAATTTAATTTCCATGTCTCATCAATTGGACCATATAAACATTTGGTTTGTGCAATTGATCATTCATAGTCACATGTAATAATTAATTTAGAGTTTAGAATTCACAATTCATGCCACTACATTTTTTTTTGACAATTACTATTTTTTTTCTGTTTAGAAATCACTTAAACTTGTGAATCTACAAGTTATCTTAAAAACCAAATGAAGTAGATCAAACAGGTGTCTGGTGAGGATAAATGTTTAGGGGAAAAAAGTCTTTATACGCTTGTTYATTATAATGTATTTTTATTCTTCTATCATATCTTTGAGATCAATATTTCTCGACTTTGAAATATGAAAATGGGAATACAAATAATGCGTTCATCAAAGCTACTAGGCCCAAAAAAATGGCAGTGATGAGTATTACTTTGATTCGCAAGAAACTGAAAGCAACTTTATTATTAGAAGAGCGATGTGCAAGTACTGAATSTAAATAATTGGATAGTGAGTTTGGAATGTTCAGTGACTTGGACCAACCAACTACGAAATAAATGGGAATGACCAATAATGTGCAAGTYTTTGACGTAAAAAGACTAGAACTTTAGATACCTTTGATAGGAAGTTAAAAACGAGTGTCTGCGTGCAATTTACATGATTAGAGGGCCTAATTGGACTGACATATCAAAAAGCAACGACGGTCGGGRTCCTAACTATATTGACACAAAAAGCAAGAGTGATTGTAGCACAAGTTCGCTCCCAACCACAAACTTGGCTAACCTTTCATTTTTTAGGGACATGTCGATGGCGGTGACCGTCAATGTCATTGTCAATTCTGAGCTAAACGATATGTTGAGGAAAATATTAAGCAATAAACCATTGGATTTGGAGGACATATTTAGCAATAAATCATAAGATTAGGGGRAAAAAGGGTTCAAGCTTAAAACAAACTATATATTAAGCAATGAAAAATCCAATCCGTAAAAAATAGCGGGTTTCAAAATAATTTCAAATCTAAGTGAATCCTAATAGAATGATACCGTTTCGGGTGACTTATTCATGCTTGTCCTTGGAAATATGAGACAAATGTCCAGATAAACCYCTTTTTCTAAGGATGTATGCATAAAAACTCTATTATCTATCCCCAAGATTACTTTGGATAAAACACCTCTCAAAAAATCAACAATTTTCTTGACCTTTTTTAGTTCAACATGAAAGAGTGGAAAGGAAGATTCAAACCTTTGACCATACGGTCTAGGCCTTAACAAATTGAGCTATGCCCGGGTTAGCCAATTTACTTGACACCATAAAAGTATTGTAATTTAATTGCTACCCTTTGAAACCACATTAGTTATGAATAAAAATAACAATAAAGCTCTTTATTTAGATTACAAATATAGGACAGTCCTAGTCCTCTAAACAGAATAATCTACAGTCATTGATTGAAAAATCAATATTAATACACCAATGAAAATTGCTGGCTCCCCCCTACTCAGATGAGTAAAATGCAACAGAATCTCAAAGACATTTTGAGTTTCTACCAGATTTTGAACATATCTAATGATCATGTGGACAAAAATTGTCTGGGGTCAGGAAAATAGAGGTGGCAGAATTAAAAATAACAATAATTCTGTCCCCACTCCAAGAGTGCAGAAGTTGAGAATTAAAACCAATGAAGAAAACAAGAACACTGATACTACGCAAATTTCACCATTTTGTAGAACATTATTCAACAGATTTATACACTATTATATATCTATTATTCACATAGATTATAAACAGAAACATTGTATTCGAGGTTCACCACGTAGGACCGACAAAATATTGTGACGGTGAGACATAAAAGCATACTAATTGCATCTTATTTTCAGCAGAAAGATGGGATATATGCATCACAGTGCAAGACTATACTTACATTTGCCAAGCTATAATGCAGAGGACAGAGCTTAGCTTACAAATTTTCTTCAGCAGTTTTCAGTGGACTTGTCACCTCCTGACCCTCTTCTTGTCCGGGGGAGTTGGTGCTTCGCCACTGCCTAGAAATTCCCATTTGACCACATCCCCATCCCATGAAGAGCTTACAAGCATCGGATAGCGAGGGTGCCAGCTACAATCTCTCACTGGTGATTTATGATGCTTGAGCGTGGCTACTACAGCTCCACTAAGCTGCAAAAGATATACCAACCAGAAAGAGATTGGAGAATAATAAGAATAAACAACTGGCTCGGATACTCACAAATATCTAAAAAAATAAAAACCATATGAAAGGCCACTTTTATTTTTTTTAACAAGAAACAACTTTCATATAATCATAAATCCCCATTCTCTACATATTTAATGAGAAATGATAACCCCTCGCCCTTAAGTTGTCTTCTTTTTTGTGATCAATACTTACATCTCATGTCTCTTATCAAAAAAAGAGATATTACATGTAAGGATAATGTCACCTCCCTAAGCAATCAAAATTGCACTTTTGTCATAGTGTTACAAATGGTGTTATCTCATCGGCTTGACTTTGAAGGAAATGGTCAAATTTCAATTATGCAACTTTGCCATTCTCAAATCCTTCATTTGAAATATCATGCATTGCTTTTGTGTTTTTACATTTATTTACTTCAAATTTCACTAGAAGGGATGGTTTTTTGCGTGCAGGACCAGGGTTTTAGAAGGAACACGCAAGGTGGTAACCGGGAGAAGGTCAGCCAGATTAGAGATAAGTTTGAATACGACAGGGACAGAAGAATGAGAGAAAGAGGTTAGTTTAAATGAATAAATTGTTGTTTTTTCCTTTGCTTTCTGCAATTCATTAATCGCTTGGTTCTTGATTTTACTATCCACCATGATGATATTCATTAGCCCAAGAAAATGGATGTTTGATCAAATTGTGCCTTCAAATGCAATCTGGCTTTCTCATTGCTTGAACAAACTAAATGAAAAATTACAATGAAGATTGAACGAGAGTAATAAATCTGAGCTAATTTATCCTTTTTATGTACTTTAGGTTTGATATTGCTTGATTGGAGCCCTTTTTTAGTTTCGCTCCCCTTTGTTGGGCTGTTTTTTCTGTTCATCCTTGCGTATTCTCTCATTTTTCTCAATAAAAGCTCGACTTTTCCTTAGGAAAAAAAGAATGTTAAGATTACTATAAGGCTAGATGTTGGAACTGTTATTAGGACAGTAAAAGTATGTTAATCAGCAACAATGAATGAGTATTGTGGGAGTTGGTTATAAACAGAATGAGTGAGGGGTGAAGGAAGCAGTTGTTTTGTCTTTAGAAAGAGTTGTCTTAAGTTTCTATAATTACTTGGGTATTTTTCTGTATTTTCTTACTCTAGAAGTTATTTTAATACAATTTTCTATTACAATTTTTTGGTGTCTATCAATATCTCGCTAGTGTAGCAATTCCTCATCCCGTTTACTTTTGTATTGCAAGTTAACTCTTAGGATTATGATTACTTGACTATTATTTAATTTAAGGTTAAATAATGCCCCACCCAGTTGGAGTCTCTTGGTCATACTGGCTTAGAGGTCTCAAGTTTGAATTTACCGGTGAGCTTAACACCAAAAACTCACCAAAAACTCCTGATGTCTCTCGGATCCGAGCTTGGGTGTCTTTGTGTATAGGGGAGCAAAGCTCCGACTCCCGATTTGAAAAAAAGAAAAGAAAAGTGAGTAGATACAATCCTAAATGTTTAGTAGGTCCTGAACTTTCAATTATGTGTCTAGTAAGTCTATTTTTTAAAATCCTGAAATCTATTGGACACAAAACTAAGTTTATGTCTCAATTTTGTGGTTCATGGTCAAGGATTTATTAGATTCGAGAATTACTAAACACCTTTTAAAATCCAGGGACGTATTAGACGCAACATTGAAAGATTAGGAATCGATTAAATACTTTTTAAAATTCAATGACCTATTAGACACAACTTTAAAAATTCAGAGAGTAAACTTATAATTTAACTTTAATTCACGTCGGCTCACTATTTAGTTTTCATCTACCTTTCGCTTTCATTTGGATTTATGAATTCACAAATATTAGTTGAAGTGCAAATACTAACAAATAGTACCGTAACTTTCAGCATTTGCACCCATACGTGGCGATCCCGCTTTTGTATCACAGAATCCAAATTCCCGGATGCAACGAAGAGATGTGGAGCCGCAAAGGTACTTTTCCGAGAGCGACAGTGACTGAAATGGACTAAGATTTATGTGCGTCTTTGTAAAGGCGAGGTTAGGAATGAGCTTACAGTTCATCTTTCCCTCTGCTGCCTGTTGTTACCAGTATCTGCAGCTGATAAGGTGTCTTGTCCATCTCAAGTTTTAAAACAACCAGAGTCGTTTTGGTTGTTTTGATAGATTCAACTCGAGATCCACGGTTGGTTTCGATTTTGTATTGATATGCTCCATAGAATGAACACAAATGAACTGACCTTTTATTACCGTTATATTCAGACGACGTTACCGATTGAGAGCTTGGTGATGGATATATTTAAATGTAGGGTCCATTCTCCCTAGCCTCTCGCAATTTTTGCCTTGTTTTTCAGTCTCCAAAGTAAGACTAACGAATGAGGGATCTTACCTTTAAATCTTAAGCTTTTGTAACAATTGCATCTCATGTGTGAACTTTGCAGTAAAAAGTACTTCAAGGAATTGAAACTACCCCTCATGCATATTCAAACACTGTTTTGGGAGTTTTTTTTGAAAGAACCCGAACCAGTAACAATATATTGAATTATAAAAGATAGAATAACTCAAATAACTCTCGAGTAATTTGAGATACTTGGACCTCTCCCTCTTTATAATCAAACTTCCTAACCCAATTACTAATATATCCTTAATACCTTAATAATATCCTCCATTTATCCCAATACTCACACGTTCAAGTTTTTTCATGTACTTTTAAATTTGTAATAATTTAATCTTTGATCTTTAGTATGTAACTTAGTACTTGTCGGGAAAAATGTTTGAAGGGCCAAATGTGTTTCTAGATGGTAAAGCTTACTATTACATAATGAAAATTGATATTTAATTTTGATGAAAATTAAATACTAAATTGCTATGCATTAAAGTTTATGGACTAAATTATTTGTCCTAATATGAAAGTATAGGGTACAAAAATGTGTTTTTAACCTTGATAAGTTTATGATTTTGGATGGTGGAAACTCTTTTTTCACTTCTTGGTCATGAATTTTTAAATGTTGCCGAAGTGAGCATTGCTCAGCGGTAATTGACATATATCTCCAGCCAAGAGGTTGTGAGATCGATCCCCACACCATGTGTTGTACTAAAATAATAAACGGTTAAGTGTTGCAATTTAACTAAATGTTCAAGCAAAGCTATTTATGTGTATATATTTACCACTTTTAATCTTAATTTTAACATAAATTTAATGGAATGATTGTTTAAAAAGATTTATTTAAAATGTATGAGTTAAAATAAAAATTTTAAAAATGATACACTAATTAAACTTATTCTAAAGCTTTTTAATTTTTATTATTCGACCACGTGTAGTTGGAGATTGGAATCTCTGATCTCTAATAGAGGTATAATCCATTTATATGACTTTATATTGATCGCTTTTTAAAAGTTTAGAAACTAATATAGACAAAATAAATGTAAAGCGAAAAGATTAGTGATTGAAGCTTTTTCATTTTTTAGTAAAACATGTAGGAGAGAGGATTCAAACTCACAATCTTATAGTTGGAGATAAATAGCTAAATTAATCGAGTTAAGCTCAGGTTGACGTGAGTCAATATACTTTAATTGAAGTAATGACTTAGTCCTAAATTGTAATGTATAATGATTCAATCTCTAAATTTTAATATGTAATAATTTAGTTCTATAATTTTAAAAATTTAATAATTTAGTCCCTATCACGTCAAATCTGATTAATGTTTAATGAGACTTCTTAGTCACCTATGTAGATGAATAAACTAATTAGAAACCAAACATGTTATAAACAAGACTAAATAGTTTCATAAAAAAAAAATCAATACATCACATTAATAAAAATTTTCACGGTAGAAACTAATTAAATTATTATAAAATTAAAAGTATAGAGACTAAATTGTTAAGAAAACTAAATTGTTAGCTAATAAAAAATATCATTTATAAAAAAAATGAAATTAAGAAAAAGAATCACACCTCAAATTTATGGTACTAAAAGAATCAACTTGTTAAAAAAAAAAACTAACCATTCATGCCACGGACCAAAGAGATTTAAATTTAAAAGCTACATTAATCTTTTCATTTTTAACTTTATTTTTTTTTTTTGAGATTATGTTTGATTTCTAACATTTATTTAGTATGTTTTTTTTTTATATTCCTTAACCATACATTTGGATTATCTTAACCAAATTTAAATAAATTTTTTAGTTT